TCAACTGTATGGACCCGACAGGTCAGACGATCTTTCACGAGGTGGCGAGATCTTGGAACACGGATGTAGCAAAGTTTCTACTGGAGAACGGTAATCATATGACCATTATTCATCAGCACCACCATCATCCTCACAAGCACCATCATCATCACTATCATCATTACCACTCCATTATCATGATCACCACCAACACCATTATCTTCACAATCACCATCATTACCACTACCACCATCATGATCACTATCACCATCATACCATCATCATCACTATCATCTTCACCACTGTAGTCACCATCATGATCACCACCATCATCTATCAACATCACTAACATCATCATCACTATTCTCATTCTAGTGGAGCTTGATATATGGAGTATATGGGGACGGTAAACAAAACTTCAAAGTATTTTGTATTAAACAGGTGCCAATATAAATCATCAAGATGAGTTTGGTCGTTCTCCTCTCCACGTTGCCGCAGCAGTCGACTACACAAGTATGGTGGAATTTATCATCCAAAATGGCGGAGATATTGACATCAAGACAAAAGAAGAAGAACAAACTGCCATACATTACGCCGCGAAAAGTGACGCCGTCAACTCTATTCAGATGTTGCTAGGTTACGGAGCCAATATTGATTCTCGCGACTGCAGAAATCGGACACCGTTACAAGTATAAAATCTCTCCTATCTATATCCTTATTTTGATTGTTCATCTCAGGACTAGATAAAGTTTTGATCAAGTTCTAGGACTGGATCACTGGATATGGTTTTGATAAAGTCCACAGATTGGACAAAGCTTTGATCATGTCTGAACTCCTAGGCTTGGATAAAGTTTTTATTAAGTCCTAGAACTGGATTTCAGTTTCGATCAAGTTGTAAAAACACCCCGGATAAAATTCCAAAACCAAATATTGTTGTCTCTAAGTTAGGCAGGAATTTTAACCAGAGAGCTTGATAAAGTTCTGATCAAGTTGTAGGACTCTATGAAGTTTTATGAAGTTTTATGAAGTTTTATGAAGTCCCTAACCAAATTCTGTTGGTGTATAAAGTTTTGATCAACGCCTAGTCTAAGAGTGGATCTTTTTTTATGTATAACATTCATGAACTTTATGTCACCTTAGATCGCCGCAGAAGTGAACAGTTTCAAAGCTGCCAAACTTTTGGTGACTGAAGGAGCGCCTGCTGGCGTGTATGACAACCTGGGGAACTCTGCATTATCACTCCTCATTGAAAAGATTCCTGAAGTGGCGCTTATAGCACTGGACCAACTTCGCACAACAGACTACATCAACAGACGAGAGTTTTACTTTCTCAACTACCTCGAAGGCGCGAAACTGAAGGAAGAATTGCAGGAAACACCAGCACGCTCCCCCATGGAAATAGCCGTCCAGAATAAAAGGTAAACTGTAAAATATAAATTTTTCCTAGAAACTTCTGTCTACAAAACCCATCAAGATAAATAAATACTGCTTATCTCGTCCAGACCCATAGATACTTAGATGAAAATTTCGAGGTATAAATTTTTTACATTTATTTAGACATAAGATTTAGACATACTAAGGTGATTCCATTATCGGAAACGCACAGCTGTAGGTTCGATTTCAGCAGGGGGGCCTATCTTCCAGTCGTATTTTCATGTTATTTATCCAAACACAGAACGCGTTATTTTGATGTGCATGCAGTTAACAATACAATCTGGGTTATTTAGCTATCTTTTTATACTGAAAGGTTTGATATCGTCATGCATCCAGTCATGAGAAGACTTATTGCGGTCAAATGGAATATTTATGGCAAGAAAGGTGCCATCTTAGATGTTGTTTTAAATCTGATCTATACACTACTGTGGACTGTCGAAGGTGTGACATTGCCGAAATATGGACATGAATTATATCTGCCAGTGGGAAATAATATCGGGAGAATAACTATTAGTAGTTTGATTATCTTGTTCACCTTGGCTGAGATTAAAAGACAAGTCCTACGTGAGTTAATACAAGTAGTGTTGTTCTTGTTGGAGCAGTTGTTGAGAGTCGCCAAAAACTTCCAGTTGCAGTATCACTGTCAAATCTGTCATCATCATCACCACCATTACCACCATCGTCAAGCCATTTGCACCATTCTTTCCATCATCACATTTACCACCATCGTGATTACCATCATCACCACCATCATCATCTTCACAGCCACCATCATTATCACTATGATCATCACGATCATCATCATCACTATTCTCATCATCACGATCATCTTCATCATCACTATCATCATCATTATCACTATCATCATCAACACCATTATCATCCCTATTCTCATCATCACGATCGTCTTCATCATCACTATCATCATCATCACTATTCTCATCATCACGATTTTCTTAATCATCACTATCATCATCACTATTCTTACCATCACGATCATCTTCATCATCACTATCATCTTGGTCACCACTATCATCATCACTTTTATCATCATCACTTTTATCATCATCACTATTCTCATCATCACGATAATCTTCATCATTACTATCATCATTATTATCTTCACCACTATTATCGATCTTCATCACTCATCTTCTTCATTATATTATCATCACTATTCTCATCATCACTAAATCATCATCACTATTCTCATCATCACGATTCTCATCATCACGATAATTTTAATCATTATATCTATCATTATCATCATTATCATCTTCATCACTATTATCATCATTCTCATCATCACGATAATTTTAATCACCATTAACATCATCATATCTATCATTATCATCACTATCATCTTCATCACTATTATCATCATTCTCATCATCACGATCATCTTCATCATCACTATTATCTTCATCATCACTATTATCTTCATCACCACTACCATTACCACCATCATCACCATCATGACGACCTTCATAAGCACTACCATCACCATAATCACCATCATGACGAGCATCATCATAAGCACTACCACCACCATAATCACCATCATCTTTACCACCATCTTTACCATCATCATCCTCACCACCGTAACATGGTCACCTCAGATTTTTGCATTACCCAAGACATAGAAAATCAATTTTATTGCATTTCAAGTTCTAAACTTCACCATTCTATTACCAATGCTCACACCATCAGAACTAGTCTCATCCTGGCCAAACCCATCCATATACCTTTTAGAAACGATCAAGGCAAGACAAGAATTAGTAAAATGGCGCGATTGGCGAGCAGAACAACTACAACAAGACAAACAATATTGCCATCCAAGATGGCCACAGGAAAGCAAACTACTAGACTCGGAAATTCAAGCTGTCAAAGGTAAAAGGCTGTTAATTTTTGTTGTCAACTGAGAGTTGAGTTGGAGTCGAAGGCTTTCTAGGTGGCCGCCATACAGAAGGCTTTAGTAGTTGGAAATTTTGAGTGGAATTTTTGTACGTAGGGAGACAGTTGTTGAGCTCTAACCAACTGAGCTACAGGGAGACAGTTGTCGAGCTCTAACCAACTGAGCTACAGGGAGACAGTTGTTGAGCTCTAACCAACTGAGCTACAGAGAGACAGTTGTTGAGCTCTAACCAACTGAGCTACAGAGAGACAGTTGTTGAGCTTTAACCAACTGAGCTACAGAGAGACAGTTGTTGAGCTCTAACCAACTGAGCTACAGAGGTCAGTTGTCGAGCTCTAACCAACTGAGCTACAGAGAGACAGTAATTGTCGAGCTCTAACCAACTGAGCTACAGAGAGACAGTTGTCCGAGCTCTAACCAACTGCGCTACAGAGAGACAGTTGTCGAGCTCTAACCAACTGAGCTACAGAGAGACAGTGTCGAGTTCTAATCAACTGAGCTACAGAGAGACAGTTGTCGAGCTCTAATCAACTGAGCTACAGAGAGACAGTTGTCGAGCTCTAATCAACTGAGCTACAGAGAGACAGCTGTCGAGCTCTAACCAACTGAGCTACAGAGAGACAGTTGTCCGAGCTCTAACCAACTGAGCTACAGCGAGACAGTTGTCCGAGCTCTAACCACCAGTTCATATATATACTAAGGTTATGTCGATGTAAGATGTGTCAGGATTTTGGGCATCTCACTCAGCAGAACACGGTTAATTAAGGCGGAAGGGTTAGTCTTTGTGAGGGAGGAATGCCGGAGGATCCGCAAAAAATCTCTCGAAGCACACGAGAGGACCAACTGTAATCTCTACTTAATTACACGAGTTTTCAAGCTAGCAAACACTTTTTAAAGCAGAGTAGTCACCCAAGAAATAACAGTATTACGCCACCCTCGACTTTTAGTAGCAGGCTTCAATCAGTGGTGGGTTATAGGCGGCGTGGTAAGTGGTAACTATATCTAGCACCCTTCATCTTGTCTTTTTCTCAGGTCTTCGTCTTGCCTCCATGACTGACAACTGGGTTTATTTCGATTGGATTTGTTTATTTTTCATTCTGTTATCCATTGCCACAAGTACGTTGTTCTTTGAAAAGGATACCGAATTGTGGAAGAGAATAAATAACCACACAACGATTGTGATGCTGTTGATTTCTTGGCTCAGAATGTTTAAGTACGCGAGGCCGTTCGAAAATGCCGGTATGTATTATTCAATTTCCACAGAGGTTTTGATGCCATGGATTTGGCTCCATATTTCTCTCATTTCCTTGCTACACACGTAAAAAATTACTTAGTTTTTATTTTATATTTTACTTTTTGTTTGCTTTCACTTTTTGTTTTTTTTTTCTTTTCTTTTTATTTTCACTTATGTTTTTATTTTATGTTTCACTTGTTGTTTCGATCAGGTCCGTTTGTGGTGATCTTCAGTAACGTCGTGGGAGACATTTTGAAATGGTTTGTTTTGAACGGGATCATAATTATTCCCTTCGCTTGCGCATTCTGGATCGAATTTGGATTTAATTCCACGACCCCGGCAGAAGGCTACACCGACGTATCGTCCCTGCTATATAACATCTTTCAAATGATGATTGTCGGAGACTACGGCTATAGCGAACTGCAGACAGCTAATGAAACGATGGCGCGCATATTATGCGGAAGTTTCATTCTTGTCGCGGGCATTATCACACTAAACCTGCTGATCGCACTCGTAACGAACACGTTCCAAATTCACTACGACAACGCGGTTGCGAACGCGGTTATGCAACGCGCGAGCACGATTTTGTTGCTTCAATCACGAATGGGACCAAAGAAATGCAAACAATATTACGAGTTCATCAAAACCAACGCAAGTCCGCAAATTGTTCAAGCGAAATACGGTGGACTCATGACGGCATCCCCCGAAGATAGAGCGACGATCGAACGAGTGTACGACGACGTACGGCAGATTAAAAACGTTCTAGCTGAACGGTTTGGACGACGTTACGGAAAGGGAAATAAATCTGATCTGGAAAATGTCCGCGAAGATTTGGAGAAGGTTAGGAGGTCCGGGAAGGAAATGGCGAAGGATATTAAGTTGATATTGTATGGTATTGGGGGACAGCGTGTTTCGACGTTGTATACGGACGATGGGAGAGATCTGTATCAGATGAGCAGTGCGGACGTCCTCAGCGGGAAAAAAGATGATAATGACAACGTCGAAGAAACGAATAAAGACAGTAACAATAACGACAACAACAACAACAACAACAACGACAACAACAACAACAACAACAACAACAACAACAGCAAGAACAACAACAACAATAACGACAATAGCAACAACAGCAGCAATAACTTACTCACACCTACCCAACCAAGAAAAAGCAGGAAGCGAAATCGGTCCCGAAGATCAAAGAAACCTGATACTAGTACTTCTGAGGCATCCGACTCTGATGACGCAAGCACAACCGGCCTTCCTGGAACACATTTAACGTGGCCAAAAGCGCGTGATTATCAGGAGGCGATTGGCCGGCCAAGAAAAAAGAAAGAAAACAGCGAACTCAAACGTGGTGGAGGAGAGAATTGGCATAAAGGTAAATTGGGATTTTCATGTAGTCCCAGCGTTGTTTCGATTTAAGAATGACGATAATTACTTCACAAATCTCTTCTGGACTCAAAGCCTCACTCCCACGAGTCGTTAGCGAATTGCCTTTCGTCTTCATTATAGTGGGATGAAGCTCCAGAGGCCGGTTGCTCAAAAGCTGGGTAGCTTAATTCTAGGTTACCGCAAATTTCAAAGCAATCTTCATAACATGTACACTGTTAAGGGGCCGATTACATGGGCGAGTTGTCCAGGCTAAGCGAGTTGACTCGCTTTGCCGAGTTGACCCGCTTCCTATATGTATTGTCTATTATTTTGACATTTCGATTACATGCAAAGCGAGTTGTCCCGCCTTGCCGGGACCGCGGCTGTAGCTTGCCGAGTCAACTCGCTTAGCCGGGACAGAAATTGCCCACACATCCCATGTAATCGCTTTTTGCCGAGTTGGCTCGGCAAAGCGGGCTGAAAACCACACTTATACATGTTTTAATTTCGATTATATGTACAAATATAAGTTAAAAAAACTTCAAATAACATCAAAATGATATTAATGAACGTTTTCAAGGTTTAGATAGGAAGCGACACAATTTTGTTAGAATACAAACAGTATAAGCCTGTTGAGATCAGCGCTAAGTATAAATACCTCAACCAACAACATTCAGTGGGTAAAGTAGTCCTCAAATACAACAAATACACAATTTTTAATCGATTTCTAACAGCAAGTATTAAATTGTTAAGCGTTACAAATCTTAATGAGCTACTTCAGCACGGCTAGCCGGGTTAACGCGGTGCATGTAATCGCATTTCAAAAGTCAACTCGCTTAGCCGGGACAACTCGGCAAAGCGGGACAACTCGGCTCATGTAATCAGCCCCTAAGAAACCTGAAGATAGTTTTCCAAAATTCATGTTTGGATCAATAGAAGTTTTATTTTCCAAAGTCCTGAAATAAACAGATGTGCAAATGTAGTAATGTACCCAAATTAAAACAGGGGGTATATCAGGGCGGGTACGACGGCATAGAAGGACGGGGACGGAAGCTGCTTGCACTTGGGCCATAACTTTCGCGAACGAAGCAAAAACCGATGCGATTACAATGTAAGCATAGCCTAAGTGTAATCCTGATGTAATTATCGGAAGAGTGTTTGATTTGTTTGAACTGGGTTTTACTTTTTAGGCGAGTATAATCAACTGTCACCGTACGAATATTATGGAGAGCCACGTTTCCAATATTTTCCACCAATGTCAGAAAATAGATACATCGAACCACAATACGGACGCCATCAAACTCCAGTAGATATGTACCCTTACGATCACAACAGCAGTGTTCCCCCAATGTATCAAACCACACCACCCACTCCTTACTTCCCCAATATGTCCTTCCCGAGGCGAAACCAGCGAGGAAGGCTTAGCTCACAACCTCCACAGCCTTCAGCCAGTGTCTTTGAATCACCACCCGGAATTCAGGCAAGACGTTACACCCATGGATATTTGGGCCAGCTAAACGAGTACAATGACCGGCATAGTCGTAGGAGGTTGTCTCAGCCCCAAGAATATGGGACCCAACCTGATGAATTCAATGACTGGTTACGAGGAAGGCTCAGCCCGCAACCTACACAGCCTCCAGCCAGGGTCGTTCAATCACCACCCGGAATTCAGGCAAGGCGTGACAGCCAAGATTATTTTACCCAAGAAAATTTAAGCCAGCCAGCTGAAGTCAGTGGCCAGCATGGATACAGGAGGTTGTCTAGGGCAAATGTGGGTCAACATGAAGTACAACGAAGTGATCAGGGTTTTCAGTACTCGGACCCAGACTTCCACCAAGTAACTGAGCGAAAGCAAGGTGGCCGCGTAATGTCGGGATCTGAGGTATTATGAAGTGAACCCAATGAAGTGAACTGAATAATATATCACAAACTCATTAATAATTCATGAGTAAATGGACGACTTACGCTTTAGAAAAATTTTTAATCTGGGAATAACAAAGGATATTTTCTGAAAGAAGTTATCAAAATTAGAAAAACTGCAAAGTTTAGTTGCGAAATGTTGTAAAGTACGGAAAATATAGCCCTGCGAAGTTGGCAAATTTGTATATATTTCTATTACGTGCGGAAATTGGTAACTAATTTAGTTACCAATTCACTCACGTAATACAAAAGTATACAAATTTGCCAACTTTGAAGGGTTATATTTTCCGTATTTTACAACATTTCGCAGCCAAACTTTATATAATATTACTAATTCCAAGACGCTCTTTCCAGCTGTGGTGATAGATTTCGTTGTTCTTACTTAGATTAAAATTTAGTCTAAAGCGCAAGTCGTCCATTAGCCAAACATATTCTTTTATTTTGCGCACATGATAATACTGGATACCTGATGAAGTACATTGATCCAGTCCTAGGACTGGATCAAAATGAATTCAGTCTTTGGACTGGATCAAAATGAATTAAATAGTGATTTATTCGCATGAGATGTCATTTCAAATCCTCCAATTCGGACTGGCCTAGATTTCAAGTCCTCGCATTTTGATCCAGTTGCGCGAACGTGAAATCTAGTCCAGTTCTCATAGTCGGGTTTAAAATATTACATAACTGTAAGACTTGCAATGGAACGTTTTAGGTCAGGAGCTCTGGTGGTGAGGTAGCGGAAAAGCAAGGCGAAGGAGAAATATCGAATCAAAAACAACACGAATCCCTATCCAGAGAGATGCCAGAGGTTACTACAACTGGGGAAGACGGAATGCGAAGTCGCCGAAGTGAGAATGAAGATACGAAATTCTAACTGTTTACACGAATTATTGTTCACACAAATTAACTGTTTAGTGTTTACACGAATTATTATTTTATTGTTCTTATTTTTATTGTTGTTGCTGCTGTTGTTCTTATTTTTATTGTTTTCACGAAATGATTACCCAAAGAAAATTTCCCTCTACAAAATCGTTCAATGGTGTATATTTCCACCCGTTGCGCACGTTGTAACCAATAATCGATTATTATTTCAATTAAAAAAAAGGCCACCAACTTTAGGGTTAGGGGTTAGGGGTTAGAGGTTAGAGGTTGGGATTAGGGGTTAGGGGTTAGAGGGTGAGGGTTAGGGTTATTGTAATAGACCCTTTCAAGGTTAACGACGCCATAATGAAACACAATAGTGCAAGGGGTGCAAACACGATGGTGAAAACAATAGGTTCAAGATGGCGTTCTTAACCTTGAAAGGCCCTATTGTAGAGCCATTACAACGCAATACTTTATTGCATACAATGGCTTTACAACTACAATAGATTATTGCTTACAACGTGCGGAACGGCTGATATTTGGGGCGTGTTTTCCTACGACATGGACGCCGTATCGTTGTCTTATAAATCTCAAGGCGAACGATTCCAATCCAGTTTTAACAATGATAAAAATAAGAATTGTAGCATCTTGGGAATTGTGCAAAATATATTGATATAAATTATTTTAATACATAATCATAGTTAAGATAGATTTAGTACATACTGTAATCATAGCGATGTTAGATTCGCGAGAAGACGTTTGATTGACAGATTGTAGTTTTTCTAAGGTTGGTTGTAGTTTTGAGGGAATATAATTACGTAGAAAATTTATATCATCCTTTACCTTGTGAGGTTATTGCGAACGACGGCTGTGGTTTCACTTGCAATCCGCATTCGCGATAAGCCGCATTAATACATTGAATTAAACTTTAGTAAAGGCAATATGACAGCAGGTAATTTTTGCTACAATTTGCAACGCAATCTCGGACGTAGAGAGTGATCATCAGTATATCGGTGGACATGGATTTTTCTATACGAAATGTTGCCGAATTTCGGGCAAAATTCGCTGGATGTTCCCAATAAGCATATTTCTGTCACCTAAAATCGTTTTATTCCCCCTCTTGCAACATTTGTCGCAATTTAAGCACGTTCCTTTTCTTGAGATTCCGCCAGTTAAATTCTGGTCAGAAATACGAGACTTCATCTCGTATGAAGTGAGTTCTTCTTCGACCAGTTCAATTTTTGCGCAAACGTTTTGATATCTAGCATTTGTTATGTACTTGAACTTTGGATCCTCGCGCGTGAACGTCCGCCCGTCAAACCAACTGTTTACGTATTTCGCTTGAGCTTCTGAAAGACCCGACTCTTGTTTCGACATGTTTCTCTCTTGGTCCACTGATTTCTGCAGAAATATTTCTAAACTTTTGTTTTACTTCTTTTCAAATATCTGACGCACTTTATATTAATTACTTTGCGTCACAATGCTATGTGCAATTGCGCAACCGCATCAGCGAAAAAACGAGTCGCTCTATCCAGTTCCTTTATCAGATCAGCTAGTGCGCTAGAACATAGTACGTACGAAATTTTTTCTTCGTTTTCAGAATTTGTTGTCAAACCGACCAATCGTGTACCTTGCAGGCAACCAATCAAAGCAAAGGAGATTTCACTCCAGTTCCTATAGAGCTCATCTCTTGTTGAATACAACCACTGACCGTATTTATTACTGGCTCCAGTTCATTCAAGATGGCGACAAATTTGAAGGCAATAATGTTCTGTGAATTTCATCCGATTGCAGGACCAAAAATTGCCTACCAGGTAAAATATAGTATAAATATAGTGACTTTAGATTATGAACTAGCATTTTATTTCTATTTTTAAGAAAGTGCACGGTTTACTTGGCCAGGAACCGCACCATAAATAATGACATATTTCAATTTGTGACATCACATGATACCATGTATGTTGTTGATTTTAGGTTCCTGAAGATTTTATTTCCAAGGAATCGTTTGATTGTGTTGCAGTGTACATTATTACGAAGCCTGAGCTGCAGAGCATGCTTATTACTGTGTAAGATTTAATATTAAATATGTTGTACAGCACTTTATAACAAAATATGGCCTGTGGCCACTATATTTGTTACCGTCCCTCATGGCCTCATCCCTTGCTTGCATGCCTTGCCAGGCAGCTGTCTCAATGCTCATTGTTGCCATTTTCGACCATTATAATACAAAAAGACAGAACTTTTACAAACCAAATATTTTCCAAAGTACCACATTAAGAACCTGAAATCTTGCCAGCATGCTGGTTGTCCACTAATAGAAATAGCTTTGCTGCGATTCAATCCATCGACTTGTGGGGGGGGGGGGGGGAATAGGTTTT